TTATGAGTGAAAGGTGGGGTACACCCTGGACATGTCTTCAGTCCATTAAATGGAAACACAAAGAAACACAACCACACAGGTAAAGGCAATTTAGAGATGTCAAATGAACATAACAATTATGTTACTGGACTGTGGGAGTATTACATGTAGAAAACCCACACCTGCAGGAGAACATGCAAACTCCATGCAGAAAGCCCTCACACCAGGAATAAACCCCAGGACCTTCTTGCAGCAAATCAGCAGTGCTACAAACTGTGTCACAGTGCAGTCCTTTTTTCAAGACTAAGGTTAAATTAATATTTATATTCTATCATACTTTAACCTGGACTTTTTTCTGCCCTATCTTTTTTCAGTAACAAACTTGAGCTAATTTAACCAAAATCTAACTAAACCTCTGACCAACAAATTTGTTTTACAACCATCAAGAGTTTAATGTTAAATGAATGCTTGCATTTATTGGTAAAATTTTTATTTTTTTAAATATATTTCAGATCCATATATACAACACCCACCCCAATGTTCTCTCCAAGGTCATACTGGTAGATGATAAAAGAAACCAGTTGTCCGGTGGTCATCTGGCCTCTCTGGATGAAAAGTCGGCCATAATATAAGATGAAAACTTTCATACCTAAATCTGTCAACTACAAAAAACAAGATCAAGTCTGTTTAATCAGCTAATACTTAAAAAGCTAATAAGCTTAATACTCTATAACTCATACAGATGAAATACATACAAAAAAAACAATGAAAGCTCCTCACCCTCCTTGCAAGCAAATAAACAGCCCTCACTGTATCCCTCTGGGTCTTGAGAGTATGTATTTCCTTTAAGTGTTTTTCATAGCGACTTGTCTCATGCTGTTCTGTGCGGAAACTTCGTACCAGACGAATAGAAAACACAACTTCATTCACAGCATCAGTAGCATGAGCCATTGAGTCCTGCAATGCTCTGGATAACCTCTGAGGAAAACATACAGCATAGAGAATTTTAGAATTGCACATGGTGTTAATTTACCTCACACAAAAAAATTTAATTCTGTTTAATGCAAGCAATAAACATTTTCCATTCGGTTTGTAAAAACAAATCTATCTCAAATCTGGGCAGTAGATAATTCAAAATATGTAATTTATTCTTAAATACCCTATACCTTATTTTATTTTAATCTCTTAAAGAAGAATGCTTTTTATATGGTATATTGAGTGGCAGATGAGGTATTTTTATTAAAATAAATAACTCATTGTGAATATGGAGTCCAGGATTTTTTTTGTTTAGGCTTCTAGCTTTAGTGTGATGCTTTACTTAGTCAATGTTCATTCTGTAGAGCTTTTGGTTTCCAATAAGCCACTTAGAGCGTTCTCTCTCCAATCACGTATAAAGAAAAGCAGGGTAGCCAACAAAGGAAAAGTTGTTCTTGTCACTGCATATACAGCAAAACAGCCTAAAATGTTCCAAACTGGGGAGAGGAGAGTGTAAACACAAGAATGACCAAAGAAGGAACAAAGTTCATGTAAACCTCAGACCAGCCTACTTGAGGTGGAGAGCTTTGTTGGACCACCTTGGACTAAATCTGGACTTCGAACTGTAGTCCCCCAAGACAGGCATCATTTAATTACTTTTATTACAAGATGCAAGTTTTATCCCCTGAGTGGGGGGAAAGTTCTTCAATAAGAGAAGGTTAGGGGCAGGGCTTACAGTTCAAACTGAACTCCATGGTTCAAAGCTGAAAGAATCAGGTACAGCACTGGATTGATTGATTGACTTTATTGATCTCACAGTGGAGAAACGTACTTGTTACATCAGTTCAAATAGTCAAAAACAGAAGAAAGAAGGTCCCAAATTACGAAAAAGGTGCATGGGATATATACAGTATATACAGTGCGTCCACGCACACAGTCTCTTATTTAGCTGGATTATTATACAGGGTTATTGCAGAAGATATTAAATAGTATTTGCACATTATACATTCCATTATAAACCATGTAAACCTACACAATTAGAACAGAATTACAACAGTAATTGGAGTTGGTTAAATTGTAAAAAAATAAAATAAAAAAATTAAAGAAATGTACAAGTACCTGTAACAAAAAATAATTTGTCGTTCCTTGATCTTACCTGGTAATGTGTGTCGTAGATGTTTTGAATAAGGCCTGTTATAGGGGTTTCCATCAACACAAGTAATGTGAGCTTCCAAGACAGGCTCATCATTAAGAAAATCATCCCCATCGTCTTCATGAATGTCCTCAGCAGCACATTGACATTTAGACCCACCGTTTCTCCCATCAGTGTGGTATCCTTTGACAATCTAGATATTATTTCACCTACACAGAAAATCCGTTAAAGTCCTATAATTTAGTCATGCTATATTCAGGAGTTATTGTAGTAGTATTTTGTATTCTCTTTGACTATTTTACCTGTCTTTGTAGTCTCAAAGAATCCTATTTCTTGTTTTGTCAAAACCTTAAACAGTTTAAGTTTGATTCTGCGTGTGCAGGAATCAATGGCACAACCTAAAAGGCCCCCTCTGCAGCCAGCACCTACAGCACTTGTCAGTCAAGCAAAAGACAAAGTAATTTAGAAATTTTATACATTTATGAACAACTATGAATTTTAAGGAAGACTGTCCTGATACCTTCCTATTGAATAAAGGACCATGAAGAGTAGACTTGTAAGGAATTCACTTTGTTGGTAATGATTTCCAAGGATGTCAATGGCTCTGCCTGTATAGAATGGGATTAATGTTTCACCTGTGAAAATACAGATGGAGATAGTTTCTTAAAGATCCAGCCAAAAAAGAAAAGAAAAGAAAGAAATACAGTTTCTACAAGCAGTTATAAAATAACCCATGTACAATAACCCCTCTTCTAAATTGGTTCCTCTGGTTGTGGATTTATGACATAAAGAGTATTAGGGCCATGCTAGAGATTTTATTTTTATTTAGAAAATAAAGTCATAGTATAATAATAAAAAAGTCATAAAATTACGAGAATAAAGTAATAAACTTACAAGAATAAAGTTATATTTTATGACAATTATAACAAGAAGCACTTTTCTTCCCTAAAATTAGTCAAGCATCTTGCGATGTTATACTTTGGCATCGCTTTTACAAATAAGGAAAAAATAAGGTCATAAAAAAAACTCTAAATCATGTCCCAGACTGCATCACACCGATACCACCAATCCAAAAATACTGCATATTTGCAACATACTCTATAAGCACAAACATAGGCGGGTTGCTGTTTGGTGGAGCT